GAATCAGCTGGTTGCTCTGCTCCCAGTCGAGCTTAGGTGGAGGGACGCGATCTGGATTTGCGAAAGGACAGATTGGAGGACGAGCTAGAAGGTAGAGCCTGCTTGAGCATTTGAAAACTACTGTGGGCAATTTACTCTCCTTGCTCGGCTGCAACGTCGTCCCTCTTGCACTTTGCCACTGCATGCATTATATCATCGCGACCATGAAGGGGCGTGCGCTTCATAGGCTACACTTTCGGCCTTGTGCTTCGAGGAATTCCCTCCCTCGGGCTGCTGGAAGTCAGGGACGGGTGCGTTAGAGCGGGTCCCTCTGACCAGAAAAGACGGCAAGTCCTTCATCCTCCGAGGTGAACTCGACATCCGCTCCTATAGAAAAATTGAAGACGTTTCCAGCTTTGGCGTGATGCGTTATGCCTGTGGTCTTGTCCTTGACGATAATGGAGCCAGAGATGACGTATTTGAGCTCGTTGTACTGCGTCGCCACGAATGGTGAAGAAAAAATCAGAACTTTTGAGTCGCACAAATCTTGTGCACCACGAACGAGGCTGTGCAACGCAAAACAGCGCAAAGACCGAAAAGGGGATCAAGAGGGCGAGCGCCCAATGAAGTCACTCACGGTGTACTTGTAGTGCAATGGCTCTCCTTTGCGAATCCTGAAGAATCCCATCACTTGATGCTCGCTGACCTTTGGACTGTGAGTCACATCCACTATCACCCGAGCAGATGTGCGTGGCTCCCATCTCATCAGCGCTTCAAGCCTCTGGCGTGGCGCAACTCAACCAAGTGATGAGGAAGCCACTTACTCAGCTGACTGTTGCTTTGCTGGAACTCGGGAATCTTCTCCTTGCCCTCTGGAGTGGTCAGAAAAGTGTCTAGCAACTGGACCAGCGCCATTGTGAAGATGGAGGATTGTGGGAGCTAAAGTGGGTTTCAAGTACAAGGAGTCACGGGCAGCAACAGAAGCGCTCGACAGAGATTGTGTTGTCAAGCGTGGATGAAAAAGACCGGTTCTGGAGTACGTCTAACAAGAACCACAGTGGGGCTTATAAGGATCCAAAGCCAAACGTTGAGCCTGCGCATCCCGTCAC